CACAAGATAAAGCACAATAAATGGCAAATTTTAAAACGTATACACATGTTTATAATTTATATTTTGTAACCTTTGAAAAAAATCAAAAACAAAAGRGAAAAATAAATCAGATCATTCGTGGAAATAAATAAATAAGATTAAGAACAACTACGTGAAAGAACCAATAGAAAAAAACTAATAATTATTTATTAATTTTAGTTCTTCTATTAATTAATTTCTAGTTAAATGTTTTCACATATTTTCAAATATCTAATTTTTATATTCATATTTTTCTTAAGGTTTATTGTTTACTCATATATTTATTTTCTCGAACCTTGAGAACTTGATTGTCATATTTCTATTGGGATTTGAACTAGATTTGTTTTTATTTTTCTAAATCATAGACAAAATGTTTTTTTGGGCAATTACAAAAATGCCACTTTTTGTGTTCACATTTGCAAGAATGCCACTTAGGAGTGTCTATTTACAAAAATACCACTAATTATAGATTTATAAAGYCTATATCWTAAAATTCTAAAYYCTAAAAAATRTTTTGACACYTAAAAYCCCDTAAACACTCAAAACTAAACCATAATAGAACATAATTAACCCAAACATAAATAATATAAAGAAAAAATAATTTTTAAAAAGTGGCATTTTTGTAAAGATTTCAAAAGTGTGGCATTTTTATAAAGTGGCACTTGAAAAGTGATATTTTTTGAAATTTGTCATGTTTTTTCTTTCTAAATCGACATATTATCTTTCTTCTAATTATAAACGATTAATAAGTATTTTATCACTTAATTTTGATTTTCTATAATTTTTTCCAACGTAAAAAGCTTTGAAGATAATTTTTTCTCAAACATCAAAATTTGTAAACTTTACTACATCCACATGATGACAAATCAGAAGATAACATTCACAATTTAATGAATATTTCAAATAGATATTAGGCTTTTATAATTCGTTTCGTGATTAAAAAATAGAATAACATCAGATTTTTAAAAACATATAATACGTTTTGTACACATGTCAAAAATTAGCTAGAAATATTTTTTTACATAATTGGAATCTGATCAAGTGATTAATACATATCACGATCGTATTAATTATAAAGTAGAAGCATTAGGTTTATCTAATACGATTCAACAAACCAAATATTCAAATAATTCAAATATCTATCTAAAATATGATTGATTTAAAATCTTAGTATTAAAAACAAAGTTGAAAAAATGCGTCTTCAGTGGTTTTTTTTTGTCAGAACATCTTCTATGTATTTATGAGAAACATTAAAGGCTATTTTTGATGATATGTCACCACCATAATTTTTTCATTTTTTATATATTCATTTAGTTGTTTAGTTCTTACGGTGTGTTTAATCTATTGTTGTTAGGGTTAATTAATTGGAAATACATAATTCTAAGCAATATTTGCAAAAACTATACGGTGCATTTTAGTAAAACTATACGATTTCATCTAAAATAGCCTTGACCAGTGTGAAACCAACCATCATGTTGCATTCATGTTTTTTTTACCCAAAGTAACACCAAAGCTAGATTTTCGTAAGGTTTTGTGTGTTTCTTAGGGTGTTCTCAGTTTCCAAATATAATTCACCTTTTATAATCCATTCAATATTTTGATTATTTGGCTTTTGACTTGTACGTGTTGATCTGTGTTTTAATTTGTGTATGTAGTTTGTTTAGGAAGTAGGTGTTTGTTTCCTGCTTACTTGATCATTATATCAGCAAGCTGCATAACAAATTGCATTTGCTTATACGAAGATCAATATTTGTTTGTGCAAATATTTTTTTAAATACCACCATGGTCTCACGGAGACTATCAGATTGTGGTCTTGTGGAGATGAAATTGAAGAAGACGAGCATGAACTTGAACCAAAGCCACTAGACTATGAAGAAGATGATGCTAGCCACAAAAATTGGTATGATGAGGAAGATGGTGATGCCGGAGAAACCTATGAAGGTAAATCATTGTGTGAGGAGAATGAGTCTCAATTAAGCCTAGAGGAAGAAACTATGCACGTGAACAAGAGTATGGAGATTTCACTCATGAAGGAGAATAAGATCAGTTCGTGGAGCCTTACACACTCGATGAAGAGATTGACCTTTATCATTAAAACAAGCCATGGTGTGAAGAAACTGAATCTGAATTCCTTCTAAGAGAGGAAGGATATGAAGATGATCCAGATTGTGGAGAGTTCACTCATGAAAGAGAACAAGACCAGTTCGTGGAGTCTTACAATGAGGAAAAGTCGTGTGAAGAATCCGACTCTCAAATCAGTCTAGGAGTGACTGAACCATGGAACGAAGATAACTTTGGTGTTGAATCAGGGCTCAAAGGGGAGGAACCAGAACCGGGATACATCTCATTTTCAGGCTTTAGCCAGGGACTAGAAGGGTACATAAGGTGGGAAAGAGACATGGGTAATTGGTTTCAGTCTAACCAAGTTCCCGAGGAGGAGAAGACGATTTATGCTGAAAAAACTCTCACTACATATGCGTTTAGGCATTGTGAAAAGGAATATTACATGTCAATTAACTTCGATGAACCAACCTATTCCTGGGAAGACATGAAGAAGATCATGTATGAAGAGTTTGTGAAGGATGCTGAAACAAGCAATACAATGTGAAGATCAATTCAAATCCCGAGCCAAAGAGATGGGTTTTTATCCACAAGGCTTTATCCAAAAGCTAGGCCAAAGAAATCTTATTGTCCTGAACCAACTAAAGTGTTTTCTAACACTCAAGAGAAGAAGACAATAGCTAAACAAGTGGTACCAGCAAAGAGGGTTCATCAACTTCCACAACCAAAATATGAAAAGTACAAACAAAGAGTACAATGCTTGAACAGAAAGGCAGATATCATGAATCTAACTCTGTAAAAGAAACTGAACCG